AGTTTTACGTGAGGCAGCAGCGGCGTGTGAAGGACCTCCTCCTGCCCTCAGCAGAGCAAGCAGGATTTCTGTCAGTGACTGCCGGCACAGCGCTGTTTGTCCTGCAGGTGAGGCGCTGTCAGATCGTCAGGGAGGGCTTTTCAAAACCCTAGAAGATGTCCAAGAAGGAAGCCGAGTTGTGTAGTTATTTTAATAACACTTCTGAGGGTAGCGAATTGCCAACTTCCCTTCCTGTGTTTCTGAACAATAACAAGGCAGGAGCTGTGACGATTTCTTCGTCGTGGGATCTTTCTGTGCCATTCCAGAAGCGCAGAGGTTAAGGAAGCACCCTTTGACGTTCGGACATCCCATCTGAGCCAGGGCTTGTTTTTGCTTGGCTCGGTACAGGAAGAGGCCCTGCCTCTGTGCCGGGGAGGGTGGCAGGATTAGAACAGGTCACGTTGCCGCGTATCGATGATGCCTTTCATGTTGCAGCTCACGAACGTATTGGTTTGTGTGCGTAGCCAGCGTGTAACAGGAAGGCCGTGTGATTGACAGAGGTATTTTTCCAGATTTACAAGTCCAAAAATGCTTCCTGAGCTGGGCTCAGCAGCCTCGTGTCTTCCCGGTGCTCTGGCTCAGCACCTTGTTACCGTGGTGGGAGGGGTGCCTCAGCCACGCCGAAGAGAACGATAAAAACAAAGCTCCTGAGACACCAGCGAGGGGCGAGCAGCCCTGCTGTGAAGTTCAGGGAGAAGCCTGGAAGCTGAGGAGTGCATGGCAGCCCTACAGGCACCTCACTTACGTGCTTATGTCACTTGTGCTCCGCGCCGGGCGGCCGCAGTGGCTTTGATGCCGTGCGGGACGCCGAGGTGCATCCTACAGGACAGCGCCGGCACCACTGAGACAATCCTTGTGTGGTCATGGGCAGAGCTGGGAGAAATCTCTGCTGAAACGTCACACCGGTCCTCCGGAGCCTGAGCAGGACATGGTGACAGCCCTCAGGGCACCGCATCGAGTCCTGCACCTCCCCACCCGTATCCCCGCGCTCCGAGGGCCCTTCCTGGGCAGCCGAGTGCCCAAGTGATGTGTTCGAGGTAAATGGTGGGGAAGGCAGAGCCTGGGAGTGGGGAGCTCGGATCCCTTGGTTTCCACAGGAACTGTGAGAGCCCTTTTGCCATCAGGGGCTGGTAGGGATGCGTGGTGTATACGGGTCCACCTGGGGTCCGATTTACAGCTGGGGTGGGATTCGGCACCACTGGGGGGAGACGGGGGAAAGGGATGTGGCGGTTGCTCTGCATTTTGTTTTAATTGAAGAAAGGAGAAAAAACGGAGAGTGGCGGCGTGTGCCCGGGCTCATAAACACTTTTTTTTCAAATTTTCCTGCCTCCCTGAGCTCCTGCGAACACGCTCACGCCTGACAGAACCGGTTCCTGATGGAAACTCCAGCAGGAGGTGTGCGTGGTGACCAGCGAGTTTCCAGAAAGGCAGCCAGCCCGTGCCAGGCAGCAGATTCGGGCGGCTGCTGTGGTTCCACGCAGGAATCACATAGGGCAGCCCGCAAATCCCCCAGCAGATGACTTCAATACGGCCCCGTGAGCCTACCGAGATGCGCTCAGGTGCTGCCTGTTCTTCGGAGCTGGTCCTGGAAGGCTGCAGGCAGGGAGTGCTGCTTGTGGGGAAAAACCTCAGTTGAGGAATATTTGGCTGCACGGCTTGGTTGCTCCGTGATGCCTGGCTACTTCAGGGGCAGCGTGTCTTGTTGGTAAGGCAGCTAGAAGCGGTGAAGTGCTTTGGAGTGTAACTGAAGAATAGAAAGCAGGCTGTGGTTGGGAGGCTGAGTGCTTCTCTCACTCTCTCATATCAGGCCAGGGCTTTGAGGCTTTTCCATTTTGCATATCTCATAGAAATGACACTGCTGTCCCTTTTTTAAATCACTGTTGCCAATTATACTCTTGCCACCAGCTCGGTTCTGTCTTCATTTTGCCACCGGTGCCTTCCTGTATGTTCTCAGTTCCTAGCGGACTGGGCGCGTGGAACTGAATCCCTCATTCACAGGGAGAGCGCCGCTCCCTTCGTCTTCACGTGGCGTGTAGATGCTCTGCTGCTCTGGAAAGCTGAATCCAAATCACAATGTTTAACCACAGCACGCAGCTCGTGGTGGAACGGCGCTTGTAGGTGAGCTCTGCAGACCACTTGCAGCCTCAGATTCTGCTGCCTGTGGGCTCTCCCTCTTCTTTTTAGCATTGTGATTTGGGCTGCGACTACTGTCCAAATGCCATAAATGCAACCTGTGGGAGCTGCCACTGAAGTGACACGTTTTTCCTCGGGGTTTCTCTGTCCCCATCAGCCTTCTGGTTGCGTTTCACATCCGAGGTTTGTGCAGAGTGACCAGGGCGAGGTGCTGGCTGCCGGGCTGTGTCGCAACGCGCGCCGACACCGAGAAAACACACCAGCACGTTGGGTAATCAGGAGAAACAGGGAGAAAATAATGGCTGTTAACACACCGTGCTGGCAGCCGCCAGAAGAGCACCGATCTCTGGGGCTGCTCCTGGCTCTGTGCGTGGCTGCGTCTGACACGGGGCAGGCAATCAGGCGAGTGCCGAGTCAAATTTCTGCAGGCTGCTGCCTCGCCTGCGGCCCCCAACCAGGCACCGCTCCTCAGCAAGCAGTGCTTTGCATACGCCTCAAGCTGGAGCCCCACAACTTCACTCCCCCACCCCTTCTATTTGTTCTGATTTTCGGCTGGTGCCTGGCAAAGATGGGGCGAAGACTCAGAACGAAAGCCGTGGGGCCGTTAGCTGTGTGCGTCACCCCCTGCCCACGAGGGCTCCCGCGGCCCGGGTGCGTTCCTGCTGGCTCAGGTTTTGGTGCGAAAGTGCAGCGCTGGCTTCGGGAACTGCTCATTCATCACGAGAGAGAAAGGTTTCTCACGTTTTTCAGCTCCTAAAAACAAAGTGGGTTTAGAAAAGGAAGAAATGGGTCGAAGATGGAAGTCTTCTAAAATGTTTTTGACGTGCTGAGTGCTGGTTTCCCAAGCTGCCAGCGGTGCGGGCAGGCCCGAGGAAGTCAGGATGCCAACAAACAGCCAGGTGGAAGGTCGGGGATCCCAATTTCTCCCTGGCTGACACGGGCTTGCTCCTGTGGGCGTTGCAGGAGGGTGGCTCCGGGAGCAGCGAGCGGAGGAAGTCGTTCACGGCTGGGGCTCCGGCACTCACTCCCTGCGCAGGGGAGGAAATGAAACTGCTGCTGGACCTGGGCTGGAGGCAGCGCCCGCGGCTGGGAGGCTGAGCTGCAAAAGTGGGCAGCAAACGGCTGCAGGACGGCGTTCTGCTTGCCGGGACCCCGGCCCTTTGCTCGGGCACTTCGTGGGGCATTTGGATTTGCAGGCAGCTCTGCCCACGTGTGTTTTGTGGAGTTTGCATTTCTGCGGTGCCAGTGGCTGCGTGCTAAGTGATTTCTCGCACACCTTTGGCTGGCTCACGTCCCAGCAGTGCTCCGTGCCCCCGTCCTTCCCCCGCTGTGCACGCTGTGTGTCGGTGCTGCTCCCTCCGGAGCCTACACAGGGACCGCTGAGGCAGGCGGCTTCTTTTCAGGTTTCCCTTCTCCCCCAGGAGCTTGTTATTTCTGGTGCCTCGCGTGTGCCAGGCAAAAAAAAAACAACAACAAACTGCATATTTCTGGTGATAGCTGCGATACTCAGGGGAACGGGGAGCTCAGAGTGCACGGACTGGGCTTAATGTTGGTGCACACCTCTGGGGATGGCTCTCCAGCCCCTCTTGCTATGTGGTTGCCACAAGCTGGCATTTATTTCGGTCGGTCCACATGCGTGGCTGGGATGTCCTGGTGCAGGTAATGGAGATCTTGCCTTAAAGGAGGCAGCTAAATGCTAGCAGCTGTCGCCGTGGTGCCACAAGCATTTTGCTAGCGTCCAGGTTGGGGTTTTTCAGGGTCGAGCACTGCACAGTCGGTGCCATCTGGTGTGGGATCTGAAAAGGTTTTGGTGTCTGGGCTGGAGAAACCCAAGCTTTAGATAGCACTGTGCCATTAAAAAATACATATTAAGAAAAATAACACAGAAAACAACAAAAACCACAGAAGAGCAGCTCGTAATAGTCTCCAGATTCATGAATTGAGTTGGAGCTTTGCTGTGAGTGACTGTTGGGCTGAACGCCCGGCCGGGTGTAAGAAGGGTGAGGGTTGGGCCCCGGTTGTGACCCAGTTTTGCACGCAGTGTTTGCACCGTTGTGCCAAAGTGCTGGGGTCAGCAGCTCGCCGCGGTGCCCCAACGTCTCTGCGGGCACAGCCCCGCTGCCGCTGCAGCCAGCGTGGTGTGGGTGCGATGCACGTGGCAGGACGAGTGGCACGGCAGTGAGAAGCTGCTCCTTGCAAACCACGAGGCCAGCTCTGCCTCAAAACTGTATTAAAAAAAAAAAGAAAAAAAAAGCCTGTGCCTTCTAGTTGGTCGCCCAAATGGGCAGCCCAGCAGCCTCGGGTTGGTTGGGAGCCTTTCTCACGAGGGTTTCCTGCAGGTCCCTAAATGAGCAGCCTGCGTTTTGGAGATATTTGTAACCTCAGGCTAATGCACTGACCTGAGGGGAAAGCTGTTTTATTAAAAAAAAAAAAACCACCAACAAACCCCCAGCTGTGTGGTTCTGAGCGTGGTCTGGAGGTGGAGGAGAGTGCAAAGAGGGTTTGGAAGCAGTGCGGTGAGCTCCTGCGGCTCAGCCCCGGTGTTTCAGCCCAGCTCTGGGGGCAGGCACGGAGAAGGTGAGCAAAGCAAATGGCAGTGACCTGTGGACACCCGACTGAGCCTTGGGGCCAGGCCGGCAGTGTCAGGAAAGGAGCAGGGCTCGCCAGCTGCTCACCACGGCCGCTTTTCCCCTCCAGTGGTTGGTGGTGGCAGCAGGCACCAAGAGGAGACTTTGCACTAACGCACAGCAAGCCAGGAAGGGCCTGGCTCTGCCTTTTTTGGGCTGTTTTGGGGTTATTCCCTGCGGATAAGTGGCTGTGTGCAGTGCTGCTCCCATGGGATCACCACCAGGCTGGGACGATTCCCAGCCGGGAGCTCCTGGGGCCGCTCCCTTCTCAAACCCACCCACGCAGCACCCTGTGGCCACGAGCTTTGCGGCTGAATTTGGCTCTAGGTGAGAAGCATTTCCACGCTCTCGCTTTCAACCTCCTGCTCGCTAATTAGGGGACAGGTGGGGAAATCAGCACAGCACAGCACAGCTCACCTCTGTCTCCCCCCCTCCCGGTGTATTTTCTGCCCGAACAAATGGCAGTGGGAATGCAGCCCAGCTGCAGGGTATTTCCACCCTGGTAATTCACAGCAGTTGTGGTTAGGCGCTGTAGTTTGCATATAGCGGGGATAGTTCAATAGCCAACGGTTGGTACCTTCTAGAAGGCCATGAGAAATGTCGTGTCACGTCCCGCGCGGGGATTATTTTCATTAGGGGCTCAGCCAGCAGATGCCAGCCCCAGAGGTTACCTTTCCATCACCTGAGAGCAGCTGTATGGGGAAAAAGTTGCCTTCCTGACAGAGCTCTTCCTCCCTGAGCATCATCCGGAGAGGGGGAGCTGGAAGGCGTTGTGGCTGGATGCTGCTTTGGGTTTTGTCTTAGGAAGATTTTTCCTGATTTAATGAATGAGCTGCATTCCTCAGCTGCTGTGCTTGATTCCGTGCTGTCTGACTGCTTGTTGCTAAATCGGCGTGGCGAGAGAAGGGAAAAGCTGAGCAGGAAATAAAGCAGTGAACAACTCAAGATGCCTCCGGAGAGAAGGTCTGTAAGAGAAGAGGAAACGGTACCAAAGGGGAACTGTCTCACTGGCCTCACCCTTACTTTTGAGGAAGAACGCCTCTGCTCAGCCTCTTTAGCTGCTTGAAGTAGGCTCCTCGGAGTGAAGCAGCTCCCGTGGTCTGACTGGGATTTAATGCCCCCGCTGCACTTTGCTGGAAGGACTCGTTAGCCTGCGTTACGGGGCTCAGCAAGGGAACAGAGCCTGCTGAGCTCCTTAGGGTGCCACTCATCAGCTGTGGTCACTGCTGCAGAGGGCTCTGAGCCTGGCCACAGCGACTTGCCGAGAAGTTCGCCTCTCGAGCTTCTCCTTCCCCTGGGCCATTCTCTGCTGCTGCATCCCAGGAGCATCTTACACCACCTGCAGTGAGAGCTTCGGCCTCGCTGCTTCCATGCTTTTTGTGTCAGACTGGTCGAGATCGAGTCTGGCTGAGTGGTCTTGCCTGCAGCAGTTCTGTTGGGAGCTTCCTACAAGCCCCAGGTGCTTGTGTCCTCCCAGCTCGGGGCGGTGGCAGCGGCTGTTTCCGAACTGGAGGCCAGAAGTTTCCTTAAAATCTTACCACGTGCCACCATGACTGCAGTGAAGATGATGACGAGGTCCAGGGATGTTATTAGCAGTTTTATTAGTATTTTCCCTCAGGAAAGGGAAAAGTTAAGGTAAGAATTAGGATTTGAACTCTCTTCCCTCCTTGCTCCATGCCTATTAGGTAGCAAAAAGCTGTACACGTTTGGGGAGTTGTTCTGGGCCACCTCCACCAGCTGTAGGGTTCAGGCTCCTAGGCTTTCTTGCAGGTGCCAAAAACAGTTGGGCCTCGTTGTTTCCCAGCCGTACTGGACAGGTCAGGGCTGCACCCTAGAAATTCAGGGCAAGAACAGCTCAGGCTGCTGGAGAGGGGATGGAGAAGCCAGGGCTCATCGTTTGGGATGCCTCTGGAGAAGGAAGGGCAAAAGTGTCTGCGCTGCTGCGTGCCTTGGGATGCTGATGGCACCTGGGTGGAGAGCAGCGAGCAGAAGAGCATTAAAGGACGATGTTGATGGATGGTCTCACAAAAGCTCCTCTTTTTCTCTTGCCCGGTGTCCTTCAAGGCCTCGATTCCTTGGTTTCTGCCTTCCCTGCTGAGCAAAGTCCACGCCGTGCAGGCTGCATTGTGAACGTCCAGCTCCTACAAATGAAACTGCCGTGGCTGCTAACGCTGGAAATACAGAGATACGAACAAAGTGCTGAAAATGCTGCCACAACAGCAATAGCCCCGTGATTTCAGGTTCTCCAGGGTACAGAAGTAGTGTGTAAAAGGGGGGAAATATCAAATCGGCCTCGTCCTGCTGATTAGAGCTTGTTTAAATACAGGTTGTGCACAACCTGTTCTTCAATAGGCCGGTATCAGCTGGGGAAGCCAGGCTGTTTTCCAAGCTTATCTGCTTTCTTATTGCCCTGTTGGTAGCGAGATCTGAATCCGTGGCTCCGTTTGACCTGTGCTTTAAGTACAGGAGAGAGCTCAGGGGATGGCAGAGGAGAGAGCCTGCTTGGCACCGAGCTGCGAGCTATCTGTGTACTCTGCACGCTCGCTTATTGCATCCCTTGTTATGCTTATTGCTGGACTCTGATCTACTGCTGCTAATTCCCCTCTTCAGCTCTGCTTGTAAAGTGCCTTCTGCTATCTAGGAATATCGGTGTGCTCCTGCAGCACCATGAGGAACGGAGCAGGGCATTTCAGAGTCGCTTGGTACATCGGGGCTCCGCATCTCCTGCGCTCGCTCCTGAGCTGAGCAGTTTGCTTTGCGTCTTTAGAGGGGGAGATGCTGCTTCCAACTCCAGATCTCTTCACGTTTTGGGAACGTTCCCTGACTAATTTATCTGTAGGGGGTATTTTCTTGCCACTCTGCCATCCTTTTATGCATGACTTAGCTTCCCAGCCGACTGAGGAAGCCTTTGAAGTTAGATTGCAAATGGGCTGTCCCTTCCCCCCCTCTGAGGTAGGGAAAGCAGAGCAGCCATTGCTGGGGGAAGAGCTGGCCCTGTTATATGGCTCCCCACTGTACCACCTCTTCTTTTCCTCCTTCCTTTTCCCTACTTCCCCCCCAAGAAACCCTTTTTCCTCTTAATAAGATCTCCTTTAAGACTTAAGGGAAAAGGCCGTGGTCCCATGAGAAGGCAAATCCACTTTTAGGGCGTTTTGTCTGTGATGAAACGTGAGCAGCCTCCCCGTTCTCCCCCTGTCCTTAAAGCACTGCTGGATTTACGTGTGGTTTTCGTGTCAGAAAGCCCTGGAGGTGAGCGATGAGACCTTTTCCCTCTGGGAGCAGCGGTGCTCTGTGCTTCCCCACCTCCAGCCCTCCCTCCGTGCACCAAAAAGCCACGAGGAGCTCCTTCCTCACCTGCTTCCAAACCACGCCGTGCGGCATTCCCAGTCTGTGGGATGGTCAAACGAGGGACCAGCCCCTGAGCCAGCACATTGCGAGGCACAAACAAGCATCTCCTCACCCCCATCCCCGTGTTTTGGGACTGACAGGGGTTCCTGGGGGATCCACCTCTGTCCTTCTGCGGTTTGAGGCATCGACTTAAAGCTTCCTTTTGGCATTGGGGGGGAAAAAAAGGCATGAATTAGGCTGGTGTTTACAGTGCTGTTTGTTTGTAATGAGCACCTGAATGTTTTTGTTGCTTGTTTTACCTGTTGGACAGCCTTGGAGGTGTGAGGAGGACAAATGAGCTCCAGACCAAAACACAGGCTGAGCCAAGAGAGTGTGTGTCAGGTAGGGTATAGTCACTTCTTGCAGCCTGAATTCTCTTTTTCAAGCAGTGAGGGAGAATTTTGCAGTCAGTAATCAAGAAACCCAAACACACAGGTAACTTCTCACCCTCTGCAAGAAATCCTTGCTGTGTTGCAGCTGTTTTGGTGCCTGTTTTTTGCAGGACACGGCAACGAGTTGTGGAATAGGATCATAGAATCATTACCGTGTTCTGCTCTGCTTCGTTTGCAACCTTTGCCTGAAAGTCAGATTTGCAAAGTGCCGTATGAATATACAGCTGTGTAGAAATCGTGCTCTTCTGTTCTCGAGGTAGCAACACATGTCGGGAAGGTATTCATAATCGCTCATCTGTAATGTGTTAATCTTTTAATTTGCCTTTTCCTGAGCCGGGCATTTCATTACAGCGCGAGTGCACCTGAAAGCTATCTCTGTCCCAATTAAAAGCTGCAGCGATCCTAATCGCACGCTCTGGCAGCGGCAGGAGGAGGACGGGAGCTCCCTTTGCTGCTCAGAGGAGGAGGAAAGACGTGACTAACCAGCCCGGGGAGGAGGCAGCAGACAAACTCCAGCATCGATGCAGGCTGCAGTGGCCGTGTGCTGGCCAGAGCAAGCTACCGCAGGCACCGATGGGGCACGGGTGCCTGAAGAGGTTCAGGAGCTCTCCCGGGAGCTGGCAGGAGGACACAGGCAGCGGTTTGCTTTGCTTTTTGCAGCTGGTGAAGCCCCTCGGGTGGCTCTGCCCTCCTGCACGCCACTTGGGCAGCGCTAGCACAGGTGCCACCCTCATGCAGGTTCCTGCAGAGGGAGACCTGTAATTACAGGGAGCCGAGTCTGAAATGTTCGTGTGTGTTGTCAGCATGGGGCTGAGCCCCTCTGGGTCACGCCTGACACCGAGAGGTGCGGATGCTCAGCACAGCACCTCTGCCGTGCCATCGTGCCTGATCCCGTGAGCTGAGGGCGGCTGCTGCTCGGTGCTGCGCCTGCGAGCCCTTCTCTAGCCAAAAACCAGGTTAAAAATGGGTAAAGCAATGCTCCCTGAAGCCCTCGCTCTGTTCTGGTATGTAGATTTTGGACAGCAAGGGGTATTTCAGTGTGTGATCCGTGTGAATGGTGGGATTCTCTGGGCTGAGCTTGAATAGGCTTAAATATGTTTTTTTTTAAAGGAGGTTTTCATTGAAATTGTGCCTCTGAAGGGGGGGTTGCAGGCGGCTGGTTTGCGTCCTCAGGCTTCCCTTTTGTTCTGGAGATGCTGTGAGGAATGTCAGTGACAGGTTTGAAGTCTCTCCTCCTTTAATGTGTTCCGCAGGAGCCCGGCAGAGCGAGCGGCGCGTTACAGGGCGCGTGCTATTCCCACCCTGGGGTCGCAGCCTGGGGAGCCAGGGCCGATTCCCTCGATTCCCTCGTCAGGCCAGCAGCACGGCGCGGGGAGGCAGCTGGAGGGACCTGGAGCCTCCTCCCGGTGCTGTCACACTCACTGTGTGACCCTGCTCAGTCAGTCCTCATCTCGCTGCCTCTCCCTCGCCTCCGGAGCTTTTCCTTTCCCTGCTTTTTTGTCAGGATAAAGGCCGAGGCGTGCTCGCTCGCGGATGTTTTTAGATCCTTGCATGGACTTCATCCAAAACCAAGCAATGACTGTTTGACAGTCAGTAGGGTTATGAAAACTTTTCTTCTCCAAGAGCTGCTTCTGATTTTACATCTCGCTGTATTGAAAAGCTGCTGCCTAACACTTCAAGGGGCAAAGACTGCCAGCATTCAGTGTGCAGCTTTTGAAGTTTTGGGTGATTTTTTTCTCCCCTGTATGGTTTCTGTGCGTGCGAGTTGCAGTAGGCTTACAGGTTGCCTTCCTCATTCAAGGGATGCTTTGCTCCGTTACAGCTGATGACCTTGCATGGAGCTGAATGCGCCTGGCCCTGCCTTTCAGTGTTTTGGTGCACCAGAGCTTGGTAGCTGCTGTGTTCTGTGATACAGCTCGCCCACCTGGGCTGCAGGTAACTCGGTGCCGATCAGAGCATTTAAACAGAACCAGCTGCGAGCTGATGGTCTCCAAAATGCATTCTGAATTCTGAGCAAGCTCTTAAACCCAAGTCAGGGCTGGGAGAGAGCAGCTCTGCACGCCTGCAGCAGCCAGCGCTGCCTGCTGACATATTAGGACGTAGCTTCATTTTTTCTGCAGGTACAAACGTTTGCTTGCTACATGCTGGGGATTGCTCTGAGATAAGGCCCATACCCTGCGTTCAGCAGCTCTCTGCCCTGCTCAGGCCGAGCAGAAGCAGGACCTTGGGGTGTTCCCCCCGTGCAGCTGAGGCTGTGCCCGTGCTGCAACGCGCTGCGCTGAGGGTGGCAGGGAGCGTTTGGGGGAGCAGCGAATGATGAGGCCGTTTGTAAGCAGTTAGGCTGACTCGAGTCTCTCCCAACAAATCTGCATCGTTCAAACACCTTCGGAAAAATGTGTCATGCATATAATTAAATACCTGTTTTGCTAACTCTTAATTTAATTAATGCAAAGTGGAGATGGCAGCACCAATTAATTTAGTTGGAAATGGCTTTTCTCTCAGTGGGCTGAAGGGAGGCTTTCCGGAGGCACGATACCAGCTGCCCTGGGAAGCGTGCAGGTGAACCCCAGGACTGACTGACACCGTTTTTTTTTTGACAGTGATGGAAATGACATCCCCAGAGCAGCGCAGATGCCAGCTCTCAGATGGCTTTTTTCCCCTGTAAAAGCAAAGAGGGAAGGCAGCGAGGAGGCAGTTGCTCTGGGAGGAAAGCGTAGCTGCTTTCAGCCCTACCCTGAGAGGCATTTGGTAGCAGCCACAGCAAATCCAGGTTCAGACAGATGAACGAAAAGAAAACCGTGTAACAAAAGACCTTTCTGTCTCCCCCTGATTTCTCTTTCCGTGCCTTTATCTGTCTCACTCAGTTGGTGCCCGTGTTTTTCCCCCTCAGACAGAACTTTCCTCTAACTGCTCATCCGCTTTAAATATTAATTCCTCTTAACTTTCTTTAAAGACTTCCGTGTAGAGGATCTTCTTTTGGTTTGACCTCTTTGCTAACCTCATGTATTCCTTTATTTTCTCCCCCTCCTGCCCTTTTGGTCTTTTTCTCCCTGCCGTTAAATCCCTTTCTCTTTCCCTTTCCGTCTTGCTTGGGTTAAAACTGGAGCACAGATTGTGTTCGCTGCGCAGGTGAGCTGTCAGCCCCACACCGCAGGAAGCAGGGAACGTGTCGTCGCTTCTTGCAGACCCAAATGAGCACCAGAGGAATTACAAAATTAAAAAAATAAATCTTTCAGTCTTCCAGAAGTTCTCGCTGTTGCTTTAGCAGCTCTCGTTTCAGCTCAAGGGAAAATAAATGGGTGTATGAATGAAGAAAGGTAACGTGCACTGCAGCGTGGGGGCTGCCACCCCCTTAGCTTCAGGTCTGCTGCCCAAGGCAGATCTGAAGCCAACTTTGTCTGTCTTTGGTCTGGATGCTCCTGGCTTCCCATCCCATGCTGACTTTTAGCTTTATCCAGCTTTTGGAACCAGCCCCAGCGCTTTTAGCAGTGCCTTTGGTGTTTATTACTGACAAACGGGGTCTGTTTCGCGGGAAACTTGTTGACACCTGCTGCGGGCATCTCGTTTGCTCTTCCTTTGCTCCTTTCAGTGGAGCTGTGTTAGCTGAAGCTGCGGGATGTTCTTTCATTGCCCGCACCCTCAGCGTGGGACGTGACCGCAGCCGAGCAGCTGGGGAGGGGACACAGGGTGTGAAACCCCAGACCTCTTAGTCGGGGCGGGGGGAGAGGACACAGTTCAGCTCTGGAAACACTCGAGCACCACAGGTTATTACTTCTTTCTTAGCTGTTTGTTTCAGGGATACACAACAGCCCTGGGGGCACCTCCCAGGTGTACAGAGGCACCAAAGCAGCTCAGCAGCTACAGGAGAGCCCCCGCTTGTCCCGCGGGCAGCGTTTGGTAGCACTCACTGCAGGGTTTGCCAGCCACCAGTGCTGCTCTGTGCTTTCAGCTGCTCTGCAGAGCTAAACGGGGGTCTCCTGGGAGAGCTGAGAGGCAGGACAACTTCAGATGGGCATCTTCACTCAAGCCCTAAGTTGTTTTTTGGGGTGACCCATGCGGAGCGTGGTGCACGAGCCCATGGGCTCGCGCTGCAGCAGAGGAATGCGGGGAAGCCGGGCTGAGGGGAGGTGCTAGGACAGGAGGATTTGCAAAGCTGCTGCTGCCAGCGTTGTGCTCAGCCTGCTCTCTGGTGGTGGCTGCCGTAGCAGAGATGACCTTTGATAAAAATGTGAAGCATTTGGGTTGATCTGGGTAGCTGCGGTTGCTCAGCGCCGTACGGCCGCAGCTCACAGCAGAGTCATCAACCCGGCTGCTCGTGCTTTTGTTTCCTCACCACTGTCCAAAATCGCCAGGTAAAATAGGAAATCACAGCAGAGAAGAAGAGAACTGCCGCCGAAGCTGTTTGCCAGCAGCTCTCCCTGTGCAGGTTCTCCAGCATCTGGTGCGGGCTGAGCTTCATTGCTCTTCCTTTCGGATCAGGGAGACCGGTAGGAGAGCAGACACCAGCACCTGCTGGCACAAAACGTGGAAGAAACAAACATCTTGGGGATCTTTGTTCAAATTTGGCTGAAAACAGCCAACAGGTTCCAAAAAAACTATTGCCAGGAGTGAGACACAGAGACACAGCAACATTACCACTTAATTGTGGTCTCGTTTCCTCAGCTGGGCTGCAGCCCACAGGTGCCCAGGAGAGCTTCTGCGCCGAGCAGCGCGGGGATGCTCTTCGTTTAGATCAGCTGGGGGGTGACACACAACTCTTGGGGCTTTTTCGTGCGAGGCTGTGGGGAGGAAGGAAGTGCTCGGTGCGTCGTGTGAGGGGTGCAGGCCCCGCACGCTCGGAGGGAGCCTGGGAGAGAAGGTCACGATGAGAGCTTCTGCTTTTCAGCCCTGAAAACAGCCGGGTGGTGGCTGCTGTCGCAGGAGTGGTGGGTTTTGCCATTTTTAGCTGGGAAAAAAAAAAAACAAAGGAAGGAAGAATGGGAGAAACAGTTTCAGAGCAGGTAGCTTGGGACCCTTCATCCCGCTAATAAAAGGTTAGCCCCATTTGTGCCACCTAGATCAGCTGTTGGCGCGTTGAATGCGTCTTCCAGCAGGGTTTGGTTGGTGTATTTCATAGCAGGCTTTGGTTTAATGGTACCCGAGGGATGTGGCTGCCATCCATGGGGTTTTTTGGTGCTGGGGACACCTTCGGGCTGAGGTGCCCATCTGATGTCACACACCGGCGTCACCGCTGGCTGCGAACCAAGGCTGGGGCTGGTGGGGGGCCTCTCCTGTATGGGGCCAAGTCGGGCAGCTCCGAGGCTCCAGGACGAGCAGACACCTTTTGCTTTAATCTCATTTCCATCCCTGTGGTGGTAGAGGTGGCACATGGTTTTTGCATTTTGTATAACTCTGTCTTTATTTCATGAGGCTGGCATTCATTTTGCTTAGAAATACGACGTGCTGTGTCTTTGAATTATGGCATTTAAGACTCTGAAGTTTAAAGGCAATTTAAACAGATTCAGGCTCTTTTTTTCAGCACTGAATTGCTTTGGCCCTGTAGACAACTTTTGGTAGCAGCAGCCGTGTGGAAGTATTGTCTTCCCACAATTAGAGGTTAAGAGTTGACAGCAGATGAGCTGGGGAGGATAATACAAAAACATGAACGTTCTTTGCACGTGCTGCAAACTGAAAAAGAGCTCACGGTGCAATGCACCTGTCGGGGTTAGATGCAAATAGGAGGTAATGCACCTTGCAGAGAAAGGCGGCCGGGCTGCGTGTGTTCCGCCGATCACGGGAGCAGCTCTTCCTCGTGCACAGAAGCCAAGGTTTGTGTTCGGTTGGGATCGATGCTCTTTCAGGAAGCTGCTACCTCTCTGCTTCCTGAGGTCTGACATGGGAGGGAGAAGCTTCAATGGGCACCAGCTGCTCACCGGGCCCTGGCTTCGCGGAGCATCGCTCACTTTCCTCCAATCCCAATTAAAACGTGGGTTAAACTTAGCCTTTGTTTGAAGCAGCTTGTGCCGTGGTATTTAACGCAGAAGGATCCTGCTGCTCACCTTTCCTCTCTCTTTTTGCAGGGTCAGCATTCTTCGGGGGAGGACATGGAGATCTCCGACGACGAGATGAACCCCGCGCCCATCACCAGCGCCGAATGTGCCAAAACCATCGTGGTGAACTCCTCCGTCAGCAACACGGCCGTCATGGCCCCGTCCATCCCCCCCATGCCGCCGCCGCCAGGATTCCCTCCTCTTCCTCCTCCTCCTCCTCCACCCCCCCAGCCGGGCTTCCCGATGCCCCCTCCGCTCCCCCCGCCGCCTCCCCCCACCCACCCCGCCGTCACCGTCCCCCCGCCGCCTCTCCCGGCGCCCCCCGGGGTGCCCCCGCCTCACATCTTGCCTCCTCTGCCTCCATTCCACCCCGGCATGTTCCCCGTCATGCAGGTGGATATGATAAGCGTCTTGGGCAACCAGTGGGGTGGCATGCCCATGTCCTTCCAGATGCAAACTCAGATGCTGAGCCGCATGATGCAGGCGCAGAACACCTACCAGTACCCGCCTTTCATGGGGGGGCGGATGCAATTCGTGAATCTTCCGCCCTACCGGCCCTTCTCGATGGGAGCTGCTCTTGCTCGTGGGCAGCAGTGGCCACCGCTGCCCAAATTTGACCCCTCGGTTCCGCCGCCGGGCTACGAGCCGAAGAAGGAAGATCCCCACAAAGCCACTGTGGACGGAGTCCTCCTGGTTATCGTGAAGGAACTAAAGGCTATCATGAAAAGGGACCTGAACAGGAAGATGGTCGAAGTGGTAGCGTTTCGGGCATTTGATGACTGGTGGGACAAGAAGGAGCGACTGGCAAAGGTAGGCTCTCACCTGCGGTGTGCTGGGTCCTGGGGAGAGCTGTTCATGGTGCTTGTGGCCGGGGTGTGGGCAAGCAGGGGGCTGGGGCTGAATTTAAAACCAAAATAAAACCTGAAATGTTACAGTAACTAGAGTAGAAGCAAAAAAAATAAGCTACAGAATAGCTCTGCTGTGAGAAACCCCATTGCTCAAGGTGGCTGAAATTAAATGGGAGGCAGGTATGTCCCTCACCTGCCTCCACGCCTGCCCACGGGGCTGGTTTCAACCCCAGGAGGGTGGCAGGAGCAGCCCGGGAGCACCAGACGTCAGCCCACAAGTGTCTGGGAGGTGGTGCTGGTGCTGCAGGCTCATTTATTTGGTGTCACTCCACGTGTCCGGGGATTTTGTGCTGCTTTGCCATCAGAGCAAATGCAGGCTGGGAATTCTGGTCCTTTCCCGGTGTCACTGCAGCCCTGCTGGGTGTCTCTGCAGAGCTGTCCTGCTGGGCGGGTTTGTGCTCTCCTGTCAAGCTGTACTCCAGCGAGCAGCAGTTGTAGGACAGGGACAGCTGCTCTGAGACAGAGCAAGGGAAGAGAGCTTACAGCACACACCCGGGAGTCCTCTGCTATGCTCCTTCTGGGAGAGCCTTCACAATTAAGGGACCTTGCTGTTAAACTCTAAATGCCCAGCCCTATCCCAGCCTCCACCTTCTTTCCTTTCCACTCTTTGTGCAGCAGTTCCAGGGCCTGAAGTTTGAGAAGTTTAGCAGATTTCATTTTTTTTCTCGTGGTCTGGACCACTGGTGGCTGCCTCCAGGAAAGGGTCTGCAGGAGGAAATGACCCCAAAATCAGGAGGCAAACATGCAAGGGCTTCTTGCATCTAAGAGGAAGCTAAACTTTAGCTCCAAAAACACACAGTCAGCCGCAGCAGGAGTGCTTGAAACCATGGTGCTGAAACTTTGCGTTTCCCACTCCGTGTGACAAGGTCCGTGAGTATTCCCAGTCCCCTGCCCTCCTCCCGCCTCCCCAGCGCTCGTACACGACAGCGATTAATTCAGGAGCTGAACGTTGGCCAAATACACGAGGAGTTCCAGGGATTAGTTAAGGCAGCAGCCTCGCATGAGTCGTCTGATCCTTCCTCAGCCAATTTCCAGCGTGCCTCGGCCAGCGAACAGCTCTCGTTTAATACGCAGTGAATCTGACTCTAGCAGAGTCTCTCAGAGCCTTCTATAGAAAGGGCCATGCAGTCCTCACGGTGACTACTACAGAGGGTTGCTTTAAGAAAGAAGAAAAGGAAAGGAAAAGCAGCACCACAACCTGCAGGTACTTTCTGTTTCAGATGCCAGTTCTCCGGGCAGCACCCTCACCACGTGCTCTTGCAGCTGGCTGCGTGTTACCTCTAGTGCCTGGGAGAGCTCCTGGGCT